CCTCTGCAGCAAGTGATGGCCAAGCGGGGCGTGTCATCATGACTTTACACAAGTGTGTCCTTACCTCCGTGGCAGAGGCTCCACCGAACCCCTGAGACCGGCTCATCGAACCCAGGTTAAGAACCACTGGTTTATATGGTCAAATCTGTCAATATCAGCTGGCCCAGTTTTGATTTTGTCTTTGTGGCCCAAATCTGTCAATATCGCAACTGGCCCAGTTGTGGTTAGTCTATAAGGCCCAAATCTGTCAATATCACAAGTGGTCCGGTTGTGGTTTGGTTTATGAGGCTCAAATCTGTCAATAACACAACTGGCCTGCTCATGCTTTGGTTTATGAGGCCCAAATCTGTCAATATCAAAACTGGCCCAGTTGTGGTTTGGTTTATGAGGCTCAAATCTGTCAGTATCACAACTGGCCTGCTCGTGGTTTGGTTTCTGTGGCCCAAATCTGTCAATATCACAACTGGTCCAATTGTGGTTTGTTTTATGTGGCCCAAATCTGTCAATAACACAAATGACCTGCTCATGCTTTGGTTTATGAGGCCCAAATTTGTCAATATCACAACTGGCCCAGTTATGGTTTGGTWTATAATAATAATGCATTTTATTTGTCAGCGCCTTTCAAAACACCCAAGGACACTTTACAACATTAAAAACACAACATTAACAATAAAAAGGCAATACAAAACACTAAAATTAAAAGAAAATAAAAAAAATCAAAGTGAGAAGGCTAACTTGAACTAACTTACTAATTACTTCCTCGTGCTGTTAAACTGTGACCCCAGCCACTCCAGCCACAACCTGAACAATCATAGACTCTCCGTTGTCCACACTTAATTCACTTCATACACATTGTGTATTTAATGTTTGTGTCTAATGTTTATGTACGTTATGTCTTGTCTTGTCTGCACTATGTCCTTTGTTACTGCACTGGAGTTCTAGCTTAAAAGCATTTCATTGCACTGTACAACCCTGTTTCMGTATAATGACAATAAATTGAATWGAATWKAACTGAATTGAGTTGAACAGATGAGTTTGAGTTGTGATTTGAAAGTAAGAAGAGAGTCAATACTATRGATGTCAGGGGGAAGAGCGTTCCAGAGTTGGGGAGCAGAGTGAGAGAAGGCTCTGTTTCCCATGGTGCTGAGGGGACAAGAGGCACGTTGAGATGGAGAACGGAGGGAGCGTGAATGGGTAGTGATGTGTAAGAGATCAGACAGATAGGGAGGGGCGAGGTGGATGGCCTTGAATGTGAACAGCAGGATTTTAAATTGAATTCTGAATGTGACTGGAAGCCAGTGAAGTTGTTGTAAAATTGGGGTGATGTGGTGAAATGAGGTTGTTTTKGTGAYGATGCAGCTGAATTTTGAACCAAGTTTACAGAGTGATTTGTTGGGCAGACCAAAGAGGAGAGAGTTACAGTAATCTATTCGAGAAACGACCAGACTATGAACCAAGATGGAAGCAGAGTGCRGGGAGAGGGATRGACGGAGTCGAYTGATGTTTCGAAGGTGGAAATATGCAGACYGGGTAATATTATTGATGTGAGAGTGAAAAGACAGTGGCCCAAATCTGTCAATATCCCAACTGGTCCAATTGTGGTTTTGYCTTTGTGACCCAAATCTGTTAATGCCACAACTGACTCAGTTGTTCTTTGGTTTTTGTGGTGCACCACCAAAAGGTCGTMATTTTTGCGGTATCTGGGCCGACTGTTGTTGTATTTTGTGGGCCAGAACTGKGCCAAACCATGTTTGGTATGTAGGGGTACGATAAGGATCATTGGTTYACCTGTGTCAGACACTCAATCTGATTCAGTGCAGTCATCATGGTGGTACTTGGAGAGCTAAGTGTTTTCTGCAGGGGTACTTGTTACAAATGTCTCAGAACCAGTACAGTCTAAGAACAAAGCAGAGTTTTTTTTTCTTTTCTCTGTTTACAAAGGARCTGGAAATTGCACATTTTGATAACCTAACTGCTGATCATTTACTTCATAATTTCTGTCATTACAACTCTGATGAGGCAAAAGTCCCAGTTAGACTCTTGACTCCATTAAATGTGGAGGTGGAGGTTGATGAGTGTGTTTCACACTGAGTTCAAGACTTGCCTGAAGGACAAATCTGCCCTCCTGGTTTGCTCGATGTCTGTCCAAAACATATCTTGATCTCCGGAGAGATTCAAGCTGCCGACAGGATTTTTACAACAGGAAGGCTCATGGGCTCATATCAGTTGTATGTGGCG